TTTAATATTAACTTTACGTTATTCATATCATATCATATTTTAACAAGTTTCTTTTAGATCTTGAATCGGTGATAATGATGATGATGATGATGATGATGATGATGGGACTATTGCATTAATTGCTCGATATCTACACGTTTCTCGATGAACTCTTTCAGTAGCATGAGGTATGAATATGCGGTTGCCTCGATTATCACCAATCGCAATTTACACATGAGATATAGATGTCCCAATGTCCAGAAATTTGTACGCTGTCGATGTTAATGCATATTTTCTTATCAAGGTACGAGGTATGTAGCGAGGTTTCGAAGATGTAATAGACGATGTTTGAAAAAATGCGCTTTGAAAAAAAGAAAACATGTAAATAGATCTTACAAAAATACATAACGTATAATACATATAAGCAAAATATTTTATAAAATTAAATGAACTTACTCTCTCTTGCAGTTGTAACGCCTCATCTCATTGAATTGGAACGTAATAGTTCATGGTTTGAGATATTTTATTTTTTCGGAAAACTTATAATTAGCAATAATTGTCTGAACTCTGTCTTAAAGATCTCTGAATGATTGATAACATTGCCCGGAGCTTTTCTTTTAAACAGTGTTCCCTTCTATTTTTTCAACATCCTAAAATGGAGAGGATTTTCTTTTATATACTTTGAAGAACAGTTGCGACGTGGTCGAAGGATATTAAATTGACATCTTAAGAATGTGAATTCTAACAATATCGAATCTCTTTTATCTAAGAATATCGACGCCAAAGTCGATAAAGTCTGACTGTTCTCATCATCTTTTTTCAAAAATGAGTTTTAAGCAATATATCCAATCTATTGTAGAATTTTACTTAAAAAGTATGCAAGTTAATTTTTAATGTATCTGTCATTAAGCCTAATGACACATGTACTAAGAATGCACTTTAATGATATCGAATTTTTTATCTAAGAGATCGACGCCAACAATAATAAAATATATTTGTTCATGAAAATAATGTACCATTAATATCCCATTTCCATCTAGTCTTTTGTCAAAAATGTGGAATTTACATATCTTAATTACGATGTAGAAATCATTAGACCATACTATAAATCACCTAGAGAGAAAATTTATACAAAAATAAAAAATTCGATAATGGAAAAAGAATGTTCAGAAAAATGCTCCTATCCTCAGTAGCACATAAAAATGGAGAGATCTGTATATATGCTGTCAATAATGAAACTGAAAGGTATAAGAAGAGAATACATATGCGAATAAAAAACTCGAAGAAAAAAATTTTGTAAAAATAATGTACCATTAATATCCCATTTCCATCTAGTCTTTTGTCAAAAATGTGGAATTTACATATCTTAATTACGATGTAGAAATCATTAGACCATACTATAAATCACCTAGAGAGAAAATTTATACAAAAATAAAAAATTCGATAATGGAAAAAGAATGTTCAGAAAAATGCTCCTATCCTCAGTAGCACATAAAAATGGAGAGATCTGTATATATGCTGTCAATAATGAAACTGAAAGGTATAAGAAGAGAATACATATGCGAATAAAAAACTCGAAGAAAAAAATTTTTACAAAATTTTTTTCTTCGAGTTTTTTATTCAAGATGGAATACGAAGATGTAATAGAAGTAGAAGTAGAACATGAAGCTTAAGAAGAATTAGAAATTGATTTAGAAGATTTAGAAGATGAATTTATAATTATTAAAGAAGAATCAGAATCAAAATCAGAATCAGATTATAATATCGCGAACTTATGAAAGCGACAGTGACAGTCATGCTGAAATAACAAATCGTTCGATAACGTGAGCTAAAATCAATACTTTAGAATAAATTGGATGTGCGTCATTTTTATTATTTATATATTTCAAACCATTCTTCAGATCATGACAAACTTTGCTCATCGTTCATCATAAGAATGCATGATTTATTTTTACGCCTTCACGCTGTTCGCCAACATGTTATTATATATATATATAT